ATGTGAATATTTTCTGGTTTCTTTCCTCCTCTGTGACAGAAAACTGAACATCTTTGAGCTTTAATTCGTCGTGTCGCGTTTTCGGAAACATTTTTCATCATTTTCTGACGTTGTGCAGACCGAGAAGCTAGCCGAAAGTTATCAACACTATTCGCTAAGAAAACTAAAATGCTTAACAACTAATAAAACACGTGCTGCTAATTTTAGCTTTTTGCAATTTACACACAATTTACACAAAATAGTGTTACCACCACTAATAAATACAATTCTGATCACAGAGTCTTATGAAGCATTTGCACAGTAAACAATCCTACAAATAAACACACACACTTGCACACAAATGAGCCGCATTAAATCCTTAAAACAAGATCTTATTACTGTGAAACATCTGCACATAAAACAGGAAACTCACATTAAACAGAGACTGTTGCTTGTTAAGGTGGACGTTTGCATGAAGTGGATTATTTTCAGCCTTTTTTCTTTAAAACAAAAACAGCTTGAATGTTGTTATTGCAGGTTGGATTTGTGTTTAAATACAAGCTTTATGTTGAGAATTTACTGTAATAATCAGTGTTAGTAACTTTTTATTGCTGGTGAGAAACTAACAAAGTGAAAAGTGACAAAAAATGTTTGTGCAAGTCGAGCTTCTTATGACGAGCGTGTGTTTGTTGGACAGACGGTGATCGAGAAGCACAAGATGAACGTCCCGGAGACCATGAACGAGGTGCTGGACATGTCCGACGACGAAGGTGAGGCTTCACTCAATGTGGCTTTAAAAACCTCCTGCAGCCAGAACTCGGTCACCGAATCCTGCAGACGGAGCCAGAAGCTGTAAAACAGCCGCCTGAGTCACTGCTGGGCTGCAACAGGAGGCTTTCTGAGTGCTGGCGTCTCGCTGGTTGCCAGGTTTCCTTTTTTTTGTCGCTGCAGTCAAGGAAACAGATGTTTTGTTGTTGTTGCTGTTGACTAATGTCCATCATTAACCCTCTGAACCCCAAAGAGCCACATTTGAAAGACATTTTATTCATAAAAATCACCAGAAGTACACCGTTTATCAGAGTCAGAAGCCGTAGAAACAGAAAGAATCAGGATTTGTCCTGAAATTCAACCAAAGCTCAGATTAAAATTGAGATGTTTGTGCGTCTAATTTTTAAATTCGCCAAAAATAAACCATTTGCGTTAACCAGATTCTGTAAAAAGGCAAAAAACTCTGAGCTCCTCGGCGCAACTGGGCAGCCATGACTGACTCGGCTGTGATCGACAGTCACGTGGCAAAAATTCAGGGAATATAGATGTAACAGCAAATTAAACTTTAGTTCAATCATCACTATAGATTTAAAATGTGATGGATTGTAAGTAATTAAGTAATAAAATAGGTATGTACGCAAGATGACAAAAATATATCTACACTGAAAAAAATAAGAATATAAATAATTCCAATAAGAAAATAATAAATCTCTGAAACAGGTTCATGTATCAGGAATAAAATGTTAAAGTAAAAATAATAATAATTTAAAAAAATAGGTATAGTGTCAGTCATGTTCACTCAGAGCAGAGAGGATGTAAGTATTAGAAAAGAAATTAAAAAGGTTGATAAGAGAAAATATCTGTATCATGTAGAGCCACTGTGTGCCGTACATGTTTATCCCAAGTTTTCAGATTTAAATAGTAATAATAATAATAATAATAAAATGCAGCTTTAGTTTTTTTTAAGTTTGTTTTATGATTTATGGCTCTCTGGCTTTATTCAGCTACACAGAAGACATTTCTGAGTTCTGAGTCCTGGTTGGTCTGTTTCCATCGAGGTGCAGGACTTTACATCGGATTAAAAAACGAGCCCACAGTGAAGAAAAACAACCAGAACCTGCTGCTTGGAGTTCAGAGGGTGAACAGGGACGATTCTGGTACAATTCAATTCCCATTTTTTTCTAACTTTGCTCTGATTCGGCCAAGTTAAACAGAAACTGGCCTCCTTGAACAAAAATTTTGCAAACTGCATTAGAGATCCTCGTGAAGGGATTTTCGCCGGATGATGTCTGTTTTTATTTGTGAATCAAACTCTTGCCGCCGAGACTGAGGCGGGAAGACGACGAGATGATGCTCCTGAGCTTAGACGAGAACCTCCGTAGAGGAATCCAAACTGTGGAGCTACGACGGATGAATCTGCCTCCTTGGAGACGATAGTTTAGCTTCCCAGCATCGGCTCCGTTCGAACTAACGCAGTCAGAAAAACGTCCATTCAAGGCAGCTGAATGCGATTTGGCCTCATTAGTACCAGAATCCTCCTTCAACCTTCATTGTTTGACATTATGATTTTCTTTATGTGACGCACACAGTAACACCTTTTCATTGTCGTCCTTTGCTCATGATTTTGCTGTGATTATGATTTCTGCCATGTTTTATTCTTTGGTTCCCGTCTGTTCCTCTCACAGTCCGTAGAGCCAATGCTCCCGAAATGATCACTGAGGACTATTTTTCTGATGTGGAAGAAGGTATTTTGTCACTTTTATACCTTTATTTTCTTCTTTTTTTTTAAACTCCTTCTGTGTGTGCTTCATTCTTGACATTTCCATTTTGCTTTCCTGTTAACCCGATGGCTGTGGCGTCCAGGTTATGTGGAGTTGATTTTACCTTCAGTCTGTTTTCAGCTCCTGCAGCAGCTTTGGGGACTTTAAACCTGTTTCCTCCTTTATTTTTATTTTTATTTTTGTTCTTATTGAACTGTGCACGTTTGAGTACTTCTGGCTGCCTCCTTCGCTCCTTGTGTTGTACCGATTCTGCGTTTTCGTGCGTCGAAATGCGCTGGTTTCCGTGGCAACCGGCCCGCATGCGGCGCCGTGGAGTGTCTGTAGCAGATCTTCTTTTTTTTGTCACGCCGCCGCCGAGGAGACGGAGCGTCACACTCGATCCTTTGTGTTCGGGCTCCATTGTAGTTTCGGGCCAAAGCAAACGCGCTGACACACACACACAGCTGCTGCCATGTGTGTGTGTGTGTGTGTGTGTGTGTGTTTGCTTTGTGTGGTTTAAAAAGGCAGCTGAACTTGGACTCTTGACACCCAGACAGGGAACCAGGAATTGATAATATTGAGATTTTTCCTCAGTCAATAGTTGGTTTCATGATCACTTCCTGCCCTCTGGTGTTTCTGCATTGATGGTTAAAACAAAAGGGGTCGTATTTTTCACACGGGTCGGGCCGAATCCTGCAGAAATCCACATTTTCTCACCACATCACGAGCTTAGCAGGTGTGCTATTCTCTCTCACGGTCTTACAGCGTATTTAATGCGATAAAACTGTAACGTAGACGTCTGTAAATGTTTGAATATGAGGTGTGATGCCACAGTTCGGTGTTAAAGTGGTCGCTGTGCAGTGATACTCTGCTCCCAGCGCTCCTGCGACGCTCGTAACGCTCGCTGGAATTCCCAGCATGTAAATATGTGAAGCGCTAAACTGAGTCTGACTCATTCTGGGCAAGAAAAAGAAGCGACGGGGGTAAATGTGGTGGGTTGGGGGGTTGATAATGGACAAAACAAGGGCATGTAATCGCCGTGTCAGGCCGAACGTTAGGTGGTTTACGCCAAGTCTTCTCTCTCAGACGCCTCACGGTGTTACAGTGGAGCTCTGCCTTGACAGTCCGACAATGAGGGATTAATCCCCACTGAACAGCATTGTTGAACGTTGGAAGAGACACTGAGCATGCTCCAGTTTGTACGCTGCAGCTCTTTCTTCTCCTGATGATCCTCAACATGACCCAAAATGTGATGGGGTTTTTTCCTCTACTTCAGTTTGAGCTCCACGGTGAAATCGCAAATGTGCCCCAACCAGATATAACCAAACATCTGCAGTAGGAGTCCTGATGTCGATAACAAGATGCCATGTTCTGATTCATGACGGTTGCTGCTTGCACATGTTGCATTAATGTGATCGTGACACACTTCCTCTCGGAGCTTTTTCATTGGTCGTTTGCCCCAAATATCCTCCAGACGTTACCGTAGAGCTCTGCCTTGACAGTCCGGACCCTGGGATTAATTCCCACCACAACAGTGAGCATGCTCCTGGTGCTTCCACTGTGGAAGCTGCAGACCCACCACATGATCCTCAACATGACGGTGACGTTACAGACAGATAGCATTACGTTGTGTCGTCTCCGGACTTGTGAACGTTGCCGCTCACACGTTTTCCAGGTCGTGACCGTGACACGCTTCGTCTCTTTTTGATGGCACCACATGTTACAGGTTCACCTGGTGGACAGGCTTCCACTTTCGTCTTGTTCTCCAGAGATCATCGGATTTGATCCTAAAATTGGGTCCCTACATTGAATAGTATGATTTAATTATCTTGCTTGTCATGAAATATCAAGATTGTGTCCTCAGACGTATTGGCATGATGAGAAGGGCGACAAAACCTTTCCGTCGTGACAAAAATGATTTTATTGTTAGAAGACGGCATGTTGACTTTATGAGGTCTCTTCTGTGAGCTGTAGATCTCAGATCCGAGCTTGCAGTAGATTTGAAAGAGGTTTGAAGCAGAAAGGAGGCATGGCGAGTAAACTAAACAGAGAAGAAGTGTTTAAAGCAGGAATGTTTACCGACGAGCACAGATAAAGCCGTACAGACGGGTGTTCTGAAGACGCTCCGATGGGGAAAGTGTAAAAATGACAAAAATCTGCTTATTTGTGTCCAAACAGAGATGGATGTTGGAAACATCTGCATCAGCTACTCCTGTAAGTCCCAGAAGACGAAGCACCGTCACTAACTCAGTAACCAGCTGTGTGACGCGCTGCAGCTAAAAGCCATGCGACTAAACTCTGCTGTGATTTGTGGTTGTTTTGTGCGTGTGTGTGTGCGGACGTGTGGTCGCGTTTGGCTTCACGCTGTGTGCGACTTGTTGTGTCCGTCTTTGGTTTCTGGTCTAAAAATACATCCGGTGAAACTGGAGGCTCACAAATACTCACATAGCAGCGGCGAGAGCAATGATTAACGTCTCCGGTAACACAGAGTCCAGGATCTAAATCAGGACGAGCGCTGTGCAGCCTGCCTCGGCGGTGTGTCACCTCAGGAGGGTTTTACAGAGCGGCGGCGTTCAGGAATGTTTGGTCCAAACGTGGGCGTAAAATCTGAAACACCAGAGAATGTGTTAATACAGTTAAACTGCCAAAAAAAAAAAAAAAGTTCAAAATCTGGCAGCAAAAAAAAATGTAAGAACAGCAGAAAACTGTAACGTTAAAATAAAAATAATAATAATAATAAAAATTAGTTAAATGGTAAATCAGTTTAATTTTAAAGTCACACATTGTAAAAGAACAAATTATTATTTTTAACAATACAGATTTTTCAGGTGCTCATTATTTTGCAGTTTTGGCTTCTTTTTTTTTTTTTTTACGTGTAAATTAATATTTTTTTTAATCTGTGAATTTTATTGATGATATTTTAATTATCTGCAATTTAACAAAACAGACAAAATTTTCAAAATAAGAGTTTAAAAACACAGTAAACTTATGATTTATTTTGCTCATTTAAATTCTGTTTGGAAAAAAAAGTGATTTTACAATTAAACAAATAAATGAATACCTTTTTTCTAACAAGATGGAAATGTTTTATTTGCCATTTTTATTTATTATTTAGCTTATAATGTATGTTTATTTCAAATGATGGCAAATATCTGTAAAATAATTATGGTTTTGCTAATTAAATACTATAAAAAGTGTAAAACTCTTTAAAACTTTAAATCTCCATTTTTCGCTCCCTAATATACTTAATTTTGTTTTACAATAAAGTCAAGTATCTGTAAAATCAGGACATTTTTTCTGATTTTCACAGATTTTTTTTATTCACACACAGAACAAACATCACCAGCTTCTGCTTGATTGTCTCTGATTGGCCAGAAGTTTTTATAGCATGAAATACGGATATTTACAGATTCATATATCAAATAATGTCTGAGAAAGAATTTCTCAAAAGGTTTTTTTGCACGCTGAAATTTTGAAATTTGAGGCTGTTTGAACAACAATATTTCAGAAACTGTTAAAAAGAAAATCCTGAAGTTTTCACTGTTTTTTCTCATCATGTCATGAATTTAGAATCTTCAAAAATGTTGACAGACACCATTTTAAATATCCAGAATTTATGATAAAAATAGTTTTTTAAAAAAAGTTTAAAGCAAATCAGAGATGAAACCTGATAATCTGAGATTAAATAATCCTGAATTTGACCGGATCAAAACCTCAGACTCCACCTTTAAGACTCGAAAGCAAAAAAAACACATTCATTTTTGTTTGTTTTTTTGAAATTTAATTAAATTAATTTCAAAATCATTACAAAAAAAAAAAAAAAAAAAGACTCAGGACGGAAAATGTGTTTTGCTTTTTCAGCGGCCAACAGTCAGATTTAAATAAACTCACATCCAAACTTGAAATTAACGTGCAAAAACCTGAGAAGTGGTTTGATTCCTGAGAATTATGTTGATTTCCCAGCGTCAAGTTTCATGATTTCACAGTTAGCTGAGGCTCAAAATCTGTAGTTGTGGAGTAGAAAATAAATAAATCATTTGTGTCCCATTCCTCATATTACAGCTGATATCTTATCGGTGGATCATTAAGACTGATCATTTGGCACCGAGTGTGGATTTAAAAGCTGCGTTTTTGTAGGTCTGGTTGTGAGTCGATGGTGTTTTAAGATGTGAGTTTAGACGCTTGCTGTCCTCTGTTCGTTACGACTAGTGTGTCAGTTTAAACGCAGAGTTACGAGAGTGAAAAAATAAAGATCAGAGAAAAATCTAGAAGTCTGCAGGAAAATAGTTAAAAGTGCAAAATCTAAAAAAAAAAGTCGAGTCACTTTTATTTATGTATTGTTTGACATTTTCTAGACAGAATCAATAATCAACAAATGAACATAACTGTTAGTTCCGACCAATCAGAGCAGACCGAGCCCTGATTGGTCAGGAGGCGGGCCTTAAAGGGACAGGACGCTAAAAAACAAAGAGGAGCTGCGATATTTTACAAAATGAGAAAAAAATGATGTGTTTTTGGAGCATTGAAGGACGTAAACATGTTCTAGTAGATTAAAAAAAATAGATTATGAACTCGTAATTGTGCAGAATGTGAGCTCTTTAATTCACAGGTTAATCTAAATATATTTTCTACATTTCCAGTAGTTTGAAATCGTTCTTGGATCAGGTGGTAAAATAACAAAAAGTAGTTTGACCCAGAAGCAGCTGCAGGATGAAGTTCTGTGTGAGGGTTTGGACAAAAAAGATTTTTAGATAAAGAGATAAAAAACAATAAAAGAAGAAGAAGCTGCCAGACAGGTCGAGCAAGACGAGAAAAAACAACAAATCAGACAAATCAGAAGCAGTGACGGATCGAGTGGAGGCTGTTTGTGCTGCCACAGGTAGAGTTCAGATGTTGGACAACTTAGTGAGTCACAACGCCCGCTTACTATTTCTGTCCGAGGCGTCTGTTTCGGAAACACAAACTCAAACACTCGCCGTGGAATAATCCAGAGCTGCTGCTGGCTGCTCGCTTCAGGACGGACGGACGGACGCAGAGTTTGGTCTGGATGAAGTGCTTTAAAGCAGGAGGTGAGCAGAACGAGCAGCATTTACAGAGAAAAAAGGGGCTGGAATGCGTCCAGATGGGGAGAGTTTAGGGGGAGGGGATGTGCAGCAGAGCAGAGGGGGGTCTCGGCTGCTTTGTGGCTGCAGGAATGCCTCCTTTTCTTTCTCCGCCTGCATGCACTTGTTCTCTTTCAACCCTGCGGTCAGCGGTTCACGGGCTACAGTCGGTCGGTCTGGGGGGGAAACATGCTGCCGCCGCCGCTGCTGCTGCTCTAACGTAGGTCTACGCTCTTTAACCGCTTGTTTTCTGTAAACTTTGTCTTGTTGTCGCCTCACAAACTTTCACTTTGTGCTCACGTGCAGCTCCAGACTCTCTGCTGCTGGTTTGAAAGGTTCACGGAGCTGCAGCTCATGATGAGTGTTTGATTCAGAGTTTAAAGTGTCAGCGGTGTTTAAAACGGTTTTACTGCAACTAGCTGGAAGTGTCTGACTTTCATTTTACAGGTTTTCACCCTGTTTTGGTAAATTAAAGACGATATCTTGTGAAATCACAGAAAAAACTGTTGAAAACTGTAAATAATATCTGTTTTTTTCAGTATATTTACAAATTCTAATTCATTCTCTAGCAGTGTCTGATTATTATTTAGATATTTGCTCTTAATTGAAAGAAAAAATTATATTAAATAATTATTTTGTCTTTTATGTTTTGTATATTTTCTCTGTTGTGTTAAATTACAGATAATATCCAGTAAATTTACGGGAAAAAAGACATTAATTTACAAGTTAGCCCTAAAAAACAGACCAAACAGCAGCGTTCTTCAGTAATCAGTGTTTTTACTAAATCATAATTCATTCTTTAACTATGACTGTAAAGTTACGCAGCTTTGCTGTGTTTAAATCAGCTAATTATTCTAATTATTCTAAAGGTGTTTGCCCTTAATTAAAAGAAAAACTAATGATGAATAACTGTTGTAACTTATATTTTATATGTTTTCTCTGTTAGATTAAAGTTTTTGAACATTAGGTTCCTCTAGTAAAGTACAGATAATATCCCGTAAATTTACAGGGAAAAAAGACATTAATTCACAAGTTAACCCTAAAAAAACACCAAAACTATCAATAAAATCAACTTTAAACATCAGTGTTTTTCAGTAATCAGTGCTTTGACTGTACATTTAGAATTACACCAGTCTGCTGTGTTTAAATCAGCTAAATAATAGAGTTATTTTAAAGATATTTACAATGAATTAAAAGAAATGTGAAGTACATTAAGAATTAGAAAATGATGAATAATTATTGTAACCTTCATTTTTGTTTATTTTCTCTGTTGTGTTAAATTACAGATAATATCCATGAAATTACCCGAGTGAGGATTAAGTGGTTTATAGATAACGGATGGATCCATGAAATTTACACAGGAAGAAAACAACAACATTTATTTAATGTAATTAATTTAAATTAACACTTAAAAAACTGAGCACGATTGTTAATAATGTCCACGTAAAAAATCTGTATTTATACAAACAGTCATTCATTCTTGATGATGATGTCACAATTAATTATTTTTACTATATTTAAATTAGGTACAAATATTGTTATCTAGAAGAGACTTTCTGTCATTTCATATAGAAGCTGTGTATTTAAAAAAAATTAAATAATTTTAATTTTTGTTAGAAAGATCCCTATTTTATTAAATTACAGATGATAACTACAAAAAAGTGTTAATTTGCATGTTGACTGTTAAATAATGTCCACATCAAAAATCTGAACATTTAAATCTGTTAAAATATATATATGTCTATCCATATATATAATCATTTTACAGACATTTGACTTTATTTTCTCCTTTCCTTAGAGCTTACATTCCATGATTCTACTGATTACACGTTTGTTTTGGCAGTTTTTTCAGATTTTTTATTAATTTTTTACGACAGTCTTGCGTGTTTATGCGTCACCACATGTTTTAAATCTCTGGACATTAAACAAGTCAAGCTGCCATTTTCTCCAAATCGTTTCAGCCTCGACGCTAAATGTGGACTCACGAAGCTAAAACCAGACAAAAAGCTGCCGTTTGTTGTTTTCGGGCTCTTTGTGGTTTTGTTGTCGTCATCAGAGGACCGAGACAAAAAGCTTTTAGCGACTTTTGTTTCCGAGCGTTTTGTTGGAGCTGGAAAACCGCCCGAAGGCCGAGTCGGCATCGGCCGGACAGCGTCTGACCGAGCAGCAGAGGAAGCTGGACAGAGTGTAGAGGTCTGAGCTCTAACGTCCTCGGTGCTGTGCTTCGTTTACCTCCAGGTGACGATGCGATGACGGGGGACACGGACAAGTACTTGGCCCCCCAGGACCTGAGGGAGCTGGGGGACGACTCGCTGCCTCAGGAGGGCTACATGGGCTTCAGCGTGGGAGCTCGATCTCAGAGGTAAGAACCCGACGAGGCAGTTTGATGTTGATGGTCAACGGCCTGATCGCACCAGCATTCAGCATTTAGACACAAACCGGAGTCAAAAGTTGTGAACTTCCTGGTTTGTTTCTGCTTTCGTGGGTTTAAACTCGACCTTTCTATCAGCAGGACGGCACCAAAGTCAAACGTTGGTGCTCGAAAGTTCCTAAAAAGTTCAAGGAAAGATGATAAACTAATGCAACAAGTAACTGTAGAACAGTTTAAAGAACATTTTTAACAGTTTTTACTTGTAAAAATCAGCAAAAATGTGATTATTTTACAGATATCAAGCTTTGTTTTTGCAGTTTTTGAACCTTACAGGAAGATTCCACAGTTTTTCTTTCTGTTTGCTTTAGTTTTTTTATATTAAGGACTAAAATCAGTAAATTGCTACAGTTTTCACGGATTTTATTGATTTAATATTGCGTAAAATCCCCCAAAATGTATTAACTTGCATGTTGAATGTAGAAAAAAATAAACAGAACAGAACAAATCCAGAAATAAAGGCTGAAACTGCAAATAAAGTCAATGCATGATGGGGAAATTTCACATTTTACTGTATTTAAATCAGCCAAAAATATCCATTTTAACTGTTTTTTGAACATTACAGTGTGCTTCACATATTTTACAGCCAGATTGTCGCCGTTTCTTTCTTTTTCTGAGCCTAAAAAGGGACTCAAGCACACAAGTTAACACCTAAAGCACAATTTATTTGCTTGTAGGATCCTGTTAAAGTGTAAAATAAGTCGTGTGCTGCTGCTCTTCTTCTCCAGCGCTCCTTTAAAGTGCAAGTTTCATGGAAAAATGTGTTTTTGTGTTGTTGTTGTCGTGATTCACATGGAGCTAATGTAACGTATGCTGAAGTTTAGAAGCTGCAGGATTTTTCTCAGCTTCATGTTGGATTCTGTAGAAACACTCCTGAGTTACGTGAACTCAGTCCGTCCAGAGGAAACGACGGGAGGTTGACGGTGATCGCAGCCCCTCAGAGTTCCTCCCGTCGGGTCGGAGGTCGCGGCTCGCCTCGGCGGCTGTTGGACTTTCTGCTCGTGTGAAAAACAATATTGACATTTGTGCAACGTGCCGAGGAGGGAGGAGTTATTGGACACGCAGGAAATGAGAAAAGGGCTTCGATCGCAACGGCCTTGAGCTCCGGGTTACAGTGTGATAGATAAACCGCCGGTCTAACAAACCGGGAGGAGGGTTGACTGGGAAATACAAAACAGTTTATCGTCAGCACTGACAGGCAGGAGTCTCTTTGTGTTTGTCATGAAATTTATAAATCTTATTGAAACGCTCCATTTATGGATAAGAAGACAACAATCCTGCACTCTTTGTTGAGAAAACAAGGAAACACGGTCAGAAAAAGACGTTTAAAGGCCAAACTCTAAGATCTAGTTCAGTTCAAAGAGAGGTACCTTCATGCAGACCGACTCATGTGGTTTGGTAGCAGCGCCCTCTGCTCCGCTGTTGGCTCGAGCTGCAGCAGTTTGCAGCAAAACTAGTGAAAAAAAATTGCAGCAAAGGATTTGAAACAGATGCAAACACGGCGTCTGCTCGATGTTTCCATAGATTTCATGTTTATAGCTTTTTTTCAGAACCAAAGATGATCATGCATCTGAGTTTTTGCAGTTTGCTACAAGCAGCTCAGTGTTTCCTTGGACTGCTTCATTCAGAAGAACACGTGCACATGTTAAATAGCTCCTCCCTCTTCCTATACATGTGAGCCCTGAGACGAAGCTGATGGTTTGAATATTTGGGTTTTACGGCGATAACCTTGTGAGTGCAGGTTTCAGCGTCATTCTTCCAACCTGCTTCTCTCCGCTGCATCTCTCCTCTGTTTGTTCATGATGTTTTATTCTCTCCTCATGTTCGTTTCTTAATGTTAGTCCCAAAGTCAGGTAAGGCTCCAGGCATGAAGAGGCCTCCCTTTACCTCCCCCCATCCCACCCATCGCACCCTCCTCCTGCCCCCCCTCCAGACCCCGGCCGCTATCAGTATCATGACTCTGTGGTCCAGTGTAACTCACCTCTACGTACTAACGTGACCCGTTTGTTTTTAGTTTTGTGCCGCCGTGATATGTCAACACCAGGCGCTGTGTCGTGTCCTGTGCTGCACTCGTGTGTGATCTTCCTTTGAGTTTACAAAGCTGGGTTCTTTAGACAACTAGTGTTTGCTTTTGTGTTTGACTGTGGCTATCATTTGGTCTTTGTGGGTTTTTGCCACAAAGGTGGAGCTTTGCATCACTTTTGGTTCGTGTGTGTGGAGTTTTTTATTTCCCCTCATCGAGCTTCCAGGGACCTGAACTGAAGCGTTGGAAGGCAACGAGGACGCCGCTGCCTTCATCAGTTCAGCGTTGTAGTTCACGACGGTGCTGAGTCGTGCGACCACACCAGTCAGTTTCAGTGTATTAATGCAAAACGTGGGATTTTGCATCTTCACAGCAACGTATGCATGAACATACATGCACATGGCTGGAAAACGCAAATACAGGCATGTGTTAGAATGTTTCTAAATGTTCATCCTTGTCAAAGCACCGGTTTAGTTTGTCCTGAATTATTTTATTAAAATGTGTAATATACGTATTAAAACGGCACATGTTCAGGGTGTTATGTTGCAATTACACGTGTGCAAACGGTTCTGGAAAGGCTGGAGCTAAAGTCAGATTGTGTCTACCGTAAATTTCCGGACTATTGAGGCACCTGAATATAAGCCACACCCACTAACTATAAAAACAAAACCAGTTTTATACATGTACAGGCTGCACTTGTCTATAAGCTGCAGGTGTCCACGTTGTAACATGAGATGTTTACACAGAAAGATGTTTTTAACCTTTAATTAAATACATACCGGTGACGTACACAAATACCATAAATGCTTTTTTCTGAACAGTTCCTGTAACACGGCTGGTTAAGAAAATAAAAACTACAGCAGCCTACCAGGAAAAGTCATTGATCGCTATCTTCATCTTCCTCCTGCACTAAAACCACTAAAGTCGTCTTCTTCAGTGTCAAACAGCCTCAGAATTACTTCGTCACTTCCTCAGTCTCTCTTTTGCTTTCAATGTCACTTTGGTCTCAAGGTAAATTCTTAAAACTCGTAAAAATCAATAAATTAGCCGCATCATTGTTAAAGTGTTCAAAGCGTGTGAAAAAAGTAGCGGCTCATAGTCCAGAATTTACGGTAGTCTTTTAGCTATAAAGTGCGATCAATAAAGCTCTGAGATTGCAGCAGTAAAAATGAGAACCTGATTTAAATTTGGTTCCCGTTGAACTACTTGTGCAGCGACGCTCTGCTCCCAGCGCTCCTGCAGCATCTGTAGGAAGTCACGCCATGGAAACATGTCCGCTACCGACTACTGTAGGAGCTGAATCTCCTAAACGCTGTCAACGTTGAGTTACATTTTATGGAAAAGGAAGAAGTCGCAGGGAGCTAAATTTGGCGAGCAGAGCAGGTGGACAGCGACAATGTTGTTTAACCGCTACAAGGTTAAAGGCGCTGAATGTTCTTAATCAGACGCTTCAGACGCCAAGCATGCTCCTGGTGCATCCAGCCTGATGTCCAGTCTTTAAACCTGCAGCTCCTCCACATGAAGGTTGGATCGTCCCCACCAGGAACGTGGTGAAACAGCAAATGTTCTCCTGCCTGAACAGTCTCGGAGCTTTTTGATCAAACCAGTGGTACATGTTGAGCTTTTCATGGAAGCTGAGAGCAGACACGGTTGCACTTTCACCCCTTTTCTCAACAGATCATTCGATTTGTTTCTTGTATGCAGCTTTCTGAAGCTCTTATCTGATGTATGAGCTTCTCCCTAAATGACTTTAGTTTCTAATTTTAAGATCTTGAGATAATGGGGTGAATAAATCCACGATGCAATCCGCAGCTGCTTTCGGTTTCCGTTTTAGAGTGGGAGCGCCTCGTCTGGCTAATTGGTTCACGTCGGCTCTGCTTGTGCGGAGCTAACGAGCGCTGTTGTAATTGCTGTCGGGGTATCGCAGGCGAGCATTCATCACATGTCATCGCTCAGGAATTCTCTTTATTTGCCTCATAAAAAAAAAAAAAAGAAACCATCGCAAAACAACATCCCACCGAATCAGGACAGAGTCTTAAGAGTCAAAACTGCAGCTGCTCGTCTCCATCACGCTGCTTGACTTTCATGAGCTCTACTCAGGCTTCCAGGGCATTGTGTGCTGCATGGTGTGAAAGCTTAGTTTCCTGAGACTGAGGAGGCTTTAACTTCCAGAGAAAACATGTTTTTTTTCTCCCCCTTGCTCTTTATGTGGAAAAGTCACCCAGCACTGAACCTACAACCACATCTGGATTTCTGGAGTTTCTCTCATTTCTTTAGATGTTTTTTGTTTTGTTTTGTTTTGTTCTCAAAAAATAAATTAGCAGCAGAAGGTGCATTCTTGCCTTGTTGTTGTCACTGGTGGCATACAGTCAGGTTCCTGGAAGCTGCATGCATTTAATGTGTTTGTGTTTGTTTTTTTTTTCTGTTCATACCCTCCACCCCCTATCAACTCCTCCTCCTCTTCCTCCTCCTCCTCCTCCTCACACCCCCCCTCTCCATCATTGTGACTGTTGTCTTGGTAATCCGTGACTTCTACGGCAACCACACCAAGCCTGCGTTCCTTCAGTTCTGATAGGTCCAACACGCTGAACCGGAGCTCCTTCACGCGCGACAGCATGATGATCGAGGAGATCCTGGCGCCCACCAAGGAGATGGTACGTACCCAAAGCCTTCAGCCGTTAAAATGTCTCCTGCACGAACAATCGGCCGGTCGGTACCTTCCAGAGAGACACATTTCTGTCTGTTGGTGCGCTGCCAAAAGCCCGGCTATTCACCAATCCTCTTACACCTGAGTTGGCGCTGACATGAAGACGACCAATCCCGTTACATTTTACTGAGAGAGGAAACAAGATTAGAAGGTTAGCGCTGCTATCTAAGAGGGATTACCGTGATGGCGCACTTAGTTTAGGGTGGCATTAAGGTAAAGTAGACCTTCGTGTGAAACCTGTTGTAGAAAATGAGCCAAAAACAAAACGACTCCAACCTGTTGACTACGGAGTCGAGCTTCAGGTGTCTAAATTTATCGGTTGCACCAAGGCTTTTAGTTTTTGACAGTCTTTAGCAGGACCAATTTGGGATGGATTCTGGAGAAATTAAGACATTTTCAAACTAAAAACCAGCTTTAAACTGTTCAGTCGAGCTGAAGACGTTTGTCTTCTGGATGATTTTGACAGTTGTGAGGATATTTTACTGGTTTCATTCAGCTTGGAAGAGTGAAACAGTGGGAAAGTGATTGGGTAAAATGGCACATTCCTAAAAATATAAGATCGTTTGTTGTTGTAAGTGCAGAGAAAGGACATTTTGAAATCCTAAAATGACAGGAGAACCTCAGGAGACCCTTCATGACACTATGGAAATGGTGCTTGAGGTTGGAAAGTTTGGTTTAAGTTATCCCAGAGGCAGGTGTTTGAAGTCGGAGGTCATTTATTCGACTAATCTAAGAGAACATTTAGACTGGTCTAACTCTACAGATAAATCTAGAACATCTGTGGTTGACAATCAGGAGATAAACCTCAAGTCTATTTTTGCTCGAACCTGTGAGATGAATGGCTCTAAAGATGGACCAAACCTGGGTCACTTAAGGACTTGGTTTACCGTCCAAACAGATAAGACCATCTGTGCATGTCTTGTCTGAAGAACTGCTGCTAATATGATACCATGAAAAGTACTGTCTAAAGTTAGAAAACTTCAAGAATCTGACCAAGCATGCAGCGGGAACTTTTGCTAACTTCCACTTTTTGATTCTCAGTGACTCACATTGCAGATGGTAATCAAAAAGTACTGCGGTTCTGTGCACTTAACTGTGGTTTAAGGACGTGAAACCAGCCGCATGCCTTTGCACATGTGGTAGAACAAACTAAATGTAGATCCATTGTAAAACCATTGCTCCGCAGCGATGCTAGGGGTGATCAGAAAGTTTCAAGACTGTGAAACACCAACACCTAGACCTGGTTTAAAGTAGCATCGTTGTGCAGTGATACTCTGCTCCCAGTGCTCCTGCAACACAAGTCACGATGCACGACCAGAGGGAGGTCTTCCTTCAGTTTGAGCTCCACGGTGAAACCACAAACCTACCATGATGCCTTCAGTGTCCTGACCCGTTAACGCTCACACGTGTTGCAAGCGTGTAAACATGAACAGTCCCAGAACTTTTTGATCACCCCTCAGTACCTTTAAACGTCCGTGCTCAGAGCCTGCTATGCGCCCACGATGCCGACATGTAGAGGAAGGTTCAGTGTTACGTGATTTCCTGGATGCACCCGCCGCTGAATAACCGTCTCCTCTCACGCTGCTTCAGATGCTCCGCAAGGAAAAGTCTTTCATTGTAGAGCAACACAATAAGGTAGACGTCCGAGCCTTCATGCACTTCTTCCGTCAGTGCATGTCAGAACATATTTGATTATCATTTCCCATAATTTAGTGTTTTTTTTTCAGTTATGTCACGAGTTGTGCTTCAGTTCACATCAGAGCATGTATTGATCATGTTTTATTTATTGTCGCATCGTGTATGTTACGTGTCCAGTGTGCAGGATTTAGTGGCATCTGGTAGTGAGGCTGCAACTATTGATGGTAAATAAACAAACCCACCGTAAACAACGAGGCGGAGTGTGGCTGGGTGTGCGGTGGACTGGCCTGTGAAGAGCCACCACACCCTAAATATGCGTAGCTTTAAGCCTCAGTACAGTTTAAATGGGGGAGTCTTGTACAGATGACCCCACATAGAAAAGTCTTGAACAGGTAAATTAGCTAAAGAGACCAAAACTGTTCCATGCACCAGGCTGTAAATAAGTTCATTTCTGCTGTGATGTTTTTACCAACTGCAACTTTATGATGCCTCCATGTCTGTGTAGCTTTTCTGCATCACAATAGTTCTCATTTTCAGGTGATCACACACTGATAAAAACATAATTATGAATATTATGTTGATTGTTCTGCCAGTAGATCCCTCTAAATCCTACACACCGGCCCTTAAGGATGGAACCTTTTTCCCAAATACTGGGCTGAACAATTGACCTAAATATTATTAAAATCACAATATGTCTAAATGCAATATCCAAATCATACGTGCTGCAGTTTTTGATGCTGCAGAGATGCCTACAAATAACATCAGACATAAGAGAAAAGGCTTACTTAATTTCGGTTGCAGCAAAATTATGTAATTTGTCACATTTTTATGTTTGTTTCAGTGGAAAACAAATGCAGAAAAACCACCATATGCCACTAAAACTGTAACTCCTGCTGCAATATCTGTCAATTTAATGTGTTATATTTGTGAAAATATTTATATATGTTATATTTTTTGCATATCGTTCAGCCATATTGGTGCTGCACCATGTTTCTGATGAGCTTAGAGACTGATTTACTATTTTAAGTCTTATTTTCTTATTCAGACTCTGTTAGCTGAGCGTTACATGTTGTTTGTTTTGGGAAAACAAAAACAGAATTGTCATGATTTCAGCATCTGTGCTGACATATCGGTGCCCATCTGCAGTAGAAATATTGCCTTTAATGTAAGATCATGTGATGCTCAGACAGAGAAAACGCCAGAAAACACGTGTCTCTGAAAATATTTTGATTTTCTTTTTTTCATTTGCATGTTCCTCTGTTGATGTTTTTTTCTTTTTCGAATGTCCTCAAGATGTTTTAAACAGCTTGTGTTTTAATGAAATGTTGCATCTCCAGATTTATTTTCTCGTTCCTCTGAGTGGCAGCTGCTGCCGAGTGCACGAATCCTTTCATGACTCAGCCGCAAAAATCCTGCAAGAAATGTTCTCTCAGAGGAGCTGCACCTCGAAATAAGCTAAAAAATAACTGAGTCTTATTATATCACAGTTTGCTTCTAATTCTTCAGGATAAGCAGCAGAGTCGAGCATCAGTACTTTCATACAGTCCAGTCTGCAGAATACTTTGCCCTTCAGCGCTCTCTCCGGCGTTTCTGTGACCTTTCTGTCTCTTCTGCAGCATTTGATGGTGGCGAAGGACTTTGACAGCGACTCTCTGAGGAGGTACAGCTGGACGGCGGACGCTCTGGATAACGTCAACCTCGTCTCGTCGCCGATACACTCCGGGTAGGTTTGTTTGACAGGATGAACAGATAGAGACGAGAGGAAAGGGAAAGCGAATCACAAGGGTGGAATGAAAAGGTTAAGAAGAAGGGAAAGGTTGACGGTTTCTAGAAGAGAGCAGCTGTCTTCGTCTCCGCCTGCCCGTTCTGTATTTTCTCTTTTCCATTGTCTTTCCCTTCGAGGAAGCTGCTCCCACCTGCAGAACTTCCTTCTCGCCCTCTCTGATTGTCTGTTCTCTTCAAAATGTAAAAGCTAATCTGTTGTCGAGCATTACACCTCCCTCATTAGCGCAATTAAGGCGTAAGAAAGTGTTCAAAGCTGCTGCCGGAGGGAGAAATGGCTTTCTCTCAGATATTCACAAAGCTGAAACTCCAGCGCCTGTGACTCACCTAATTGTGAAAATAAAGGAGGTGTAATTCAAAACAAACGTTTATCATTTTGGGAAATGTGCTGATTTGCTTTTCTGGAGGAGTTTTAAGCCCTTTTCAGACATTCTTGGCTTCATTAGTCCGTTAAAGTGACGGCGTTTAGTCACTCAGAGGAGTGATTGAGCCACGATGCAAAATGTATCATACAGGTGAGATTTGACATCATATGAAGTGATTTAATGCACAAATAAACAAAAAACTGAATCTAAATTTGACTGATTTTTCACAGAGATTATACATTTGTTTTATAATTATCAGTCATTAATGAGTTACTGCTGTTGTGCATCGATACTTTAACGTTGGAGCTGCTGTTTGATGCTGCTGATATTTAATAAACTCAGAGGAAACACTCCTAAACAGCTGGAAGCAACAAGCTAAACTTCAGCTGCTGTTAATCTGGATTACATTGATTATTGGTGACTCTCCTTAATCTGATTTATCATAGACTCGGTTTTATCGCAGCAAAGTGTTATTTTATGGACATTTCAGTTTGTAATTAATGTGAATTGGAGTTTTTCAGAAGGTTTTAGTGTCTCGAAAAGTGCGATAGAAGTTTTGGGCATCCAAACCGTGGTTCTGGACCAACGCTGGCGCTGAAATGTGGAAAAATTCTCCCTCAAAGCATTTTACACGACTTTAAGTCCGTCCTTAATGCTGCTGCGTGCGACCGGACCCGTGGTTCAGACATGAAGCCGACACGTTCAGATTAACGGAAAAAAGGGAAAATCTGAAAAGGACTTCATGTAAGAACAAAATGAATCTTCAGCCAGCAGCTGGTTAGCTTAGCTTAGCACAAAGACTGGAAATGAAGGGAAACTGCTAGCGTGGCTTGGGCACCTCTACAGCTCGCTAATTAACCATTTTACATTGCGATTAAATACAAAAAGCGAAGCCTATAAACTGTTGTTACAGCCTTCTGTGCTAACTGAGATTCACATAGCCCTCCACCGGAAAGCAAATATTTCCCAAAATGCCACATTCTCCCGTTATGGTTTCCTTGGTAACGGTCTTCTCAGTGGTGTTTTTCCAACAATGACAAAGCTGTGTTGTTGACCTGTCACTCCTGCGTTGCTTTGTCGTCCATCCTGCAGTTTTTCCTCTCCGCTCCCGCAGTACGACAGCAGGTGATTGACTGTGATTGGTTGATTTTAATCACCTCCTCGTCCTCCTCCACCTTGTTTCCGGTGACATCGCACCACCTTCCCCTCTTGTCTGTCCGCTCACTCACAACATCTGTGTTTGCTCTCCGTCACTGTTGTCACGGACTTCCAGTGGTTTGGGTTGTGTTTCTTCCTTCGTTTGGTTTGTTTGGAGAAATCTTTCTGAGACGAGTTTATGTTGCAAGATTTGGTCTGAATGTGATTTTTTTTTTTTTTTTAATTAGCGTTGTTTAAAGAAACGTGTGCACAGCCAGACCTGAATGTTGTTCCATCAGTTGAAGCAGCCGTTAACCCTCTGAACTCCAACGGTGTTTGCTCCTGTCACATGTTTCATCACCGTGGGCTCATTTTTCACTGCAATGTAAAGTCCTGCACCTCTAAGGAAACAGAACAACCAGGACAAGAAGGAGAGGGAAATCAGAAAACAGAAAAAACAAAAGTTACATTTCTATGGTTATCTTTGTTACAAAAATTTTAAAAATAAATGCAATCTTCACATTTTTCTGAATGCCCACAGCTGTTTCCAACACTGGGAATAATGTTGCCTCTACATGCTATAGGCATTTAACCGTGCTGAATATGTCTTCCAACAACCGACTGATTGTTTTATTGATTTGTTTTATTGATTCAGTTTTGCCAAATGGTCACAAAATTATTTTTTTGTGTTTTTTTGTTGTTGTTGCTGTTTTTTTCCAGAATAAATAATAATTTTTTTTAACCTTTTTTTTTTTAGTGAATTAATAAATGAAACATTTCCATTACATAGTTTTGGTGAAACATCACTACTTTAGCCTTATTTTTTGGTTAAATTTCCCAATTGAATTATACATCACACATAACACATTCAAGGACTGTGGAAAAGCTGAAAACCCAATGATTTTTTCTATTTTTCACATTTGGTAGATTTGACATTATTTTTGGCAGGTTTTGGAGTTT